CTAAGAAACGCGTCGAAAACGCGCTCTGGGAAGCTGTAGCGTGAGTTCACCAATATCTCTTCTCCATGTTTTGCCTGGAATTTTTGCGGGACAGATATCTACGGCAAGCCCGCTCAACACGCCCTCCCTGTGAAAGCGCCGCACCAAGTCTACGACGGCGCTAGAAGCTTCGATCCCTCGAGGGATCCTACGTTAAATCGAGGCGCAGATAATCCCAAGCAACGGTGGCAGGCGCACCTCGAACTCCCACGTGGTTGACGATTCACTTGTTGTGTCGGAAGGGGGACGTTCACTGTTTCTGGCCCCCAATGAGGTCGCGCGGCGAACTGCCGAGTCAGCTTGCCGATATTGATTTGCAACGACCCCAATAAATTGCCATGATAGGTACCCCCGCGCCCCGCGAGGACCCACGAGAGGCACCTAAGCTTCGGCGCCCCGCCCCTAAGTGGTGCGGAACTGGCGCCCCAGGCCGGAGCAACAGGCCGAAATGGGCAAAACCCCAGCGGTCGCTTGCAGCCTTTGCCACGCAACCGTCCCTGATCCGACCTATTCTTTTATGTACTTATATCGGCCCTTTCCTGTATTACATTCTCCTCTAGCCCTACCTCGTAGATATATACACTTCTCGTTTGCAACAGGCTTCCGAAAATTATCCCTTCACCATGGAGATGAACTATGATGAACAGGTATGCTCCCTCAGTTTAAAAGCCTTCTCATAACGGACTAACCCAGATTTCACAGGAGCTTTCTGCCATCGAGCAGGAGCTCAATATCGAAATTCTCCCTGGCACGGAGGTCATGGCGGATGTTGGATCGCACCATTTTGTCAAGAGCACCGGCAAAAGTCACCGCGTCTTGGTTCCGCAACCGTCGGAGGATCCCCATGATCCTCTCAACTGGTCGACAACCTGGAAGATTTCAGCCATCGTGGCGTCGAGTATGGTTAGCTTTACTCAAGGCTTCGGTCCACTGTCCTTGGCACCCATGTTTGGCGACTACATCGAGGCGTTCAATTGCTCTCTCGCAGATGCGGTGCAGTTTACCGGCGTTGCTATTCTTGTGCTTGGTTTTAGCAATTTCATCTGGTATAGTACTACAATATCCACAAAGGGGAGATCACGGACTTACCGCGTATTAGGGTTCCACTCAGTTCTACTTTCGGCCGTCGCCCGGTCTACATTTTCTCGCAGTTAATCTGCCTTGGTTCTGCCATCTGGCGTGCACGGGCTCAGACCTATGGCTCCTTCATGGGCGCTTGCGTGTGAGCAGCAATCTTCGACCTAGCCAAAGAGCTACACTGACAGAGGATAGTCTCAACGGGATCGGAGCTGGTCCTGCTGAAACCATTCAGCCTGCGGTCATTGCTGATATTTTCTTCCTTCACGATCGTGGCAAGTGGAACACGCTCTATTGGGTTGTTTACATGGGGTCTCTCATGGTTGCTCCCATTATTTCTGGCTCAATGGCCGAGAACGTTGGGTGGAGGAGTTTCTGGTGGTTCTACACTGCTTTGGTCGCTCTTTCGGTGCTGATGGTGGTTTTCATGTTCCCTGAAACAAAGTGGCATCGGCAACACCCACGGGAGATGATCAAGCACGCCGTTGCGACCCAACAAGCCAAACCCGAGGTTGTCGAAAAGGAGTCAGATGCCGTCCTTGAACAACTCCCTACCAATAACGAAATTGCCCCTGTCGAAACTGCTGATCGTGATCCTTGGCTCGGCCGTGGAAAGCCAAGCAAGGCTCAATGGGGCCTTTACACGCCCAACCCAGATCCAGTCAGGGCCATCATTCTCGATCTCTGGATTCCATGGAAGCTGTTCGCCTTCCCCATTGTCGAATTGGCCGCCTTTATTGTCAGCTGGAGCTGCTCTTCATTCTTGACACTCAACCTGACTCAGACTCAAGCCTTCGCCGCACCTCCCTACAACTTTACCACTGAGCAGATCGGCTTCACCAACTTTGCCATCCTTGTGGGTGCAATGATTGGCTTGTTCACCGCTGGCCCATTCTCCGACTTTGTTGCTGCTCGTGCTACAGCAAGAAACAGGGGAATTCGTGAGCCTGAAATGCGTCTCCTCGCTATGATCCCTTATGTCATCATCATGTATCTTGGAAACATCATTGTCAGCGTCGGCTACGAGAACCAATGGCCATGGCAAGCGATTGTCATTATCGGATACACCTGTGCTGGTATTCAGGTTGCCGCAATTCCCGGTATCGCATCGACTTATGCTGTTGACAGCTACAAGCCTGTGGCTGGCAGCCTGTTTGTCGCTATCACGGTCAATAAGAATGTTTGGGGTTATGGTTTCAGCAAATTTATCACGGTAATTCTCAAAAGTCCATTATTCTATACATCACCTGTGCTAACTTGAACTCAGAACTGGATCATCAAAGATGGTTATATCCCACCAATCATGACCAATGCGTCCCTGATTTTGTTGTGGTGCCTGTGTGCCATTTTATTCTACTTCTATGGGAAGACATTCCGGCGGTGGACCAAGAACAGCAGCGTTCATAATATGTAAGGGACTCGGACAAACTAGGGCACAGCATGATGTGAGTCTCTGGGCTTTAAAACGGTACTTTTCCTGGTTAATAAAATGGGCCCTCATTGCTCCTGACATCGCTGCGCCACTACGAAACTTTCTCACACTTTGTTCACATGTCGGAGTGATTCCACTGCCACCTATTCTTCGTTCTTACTAGCGGCCTTTGCCTCGTGAATTTCGCCTCTTAGTACTTCCCTTGATGTCGCAGCGCCCATGTCAGATTGTTCACAAATGCCAAGGTGTTTTGGGCACCGAGTGTGTCTGTTGCATGGGGTCCTCTTCACCTCTGTAACAAGTTGCGTCCAAATCTCAACTCAGCTACGTCGGCCCACCCAAGGGTAGTGGCTTGGTCGTCTCATGATATCCGTGGTCATGGGAAGGATTACAAATGGAAACAAATCTATTTCTGGTCGACCAGTTCATCTATCCCAATCGACTGAAGGATGAGGCTACCAAAGACAATAGTCTACGGCAATATCTCGACTATGAACTGGGACGAGAAGTCGTTCTGAGACAATAAGTCTGTTTCCGTCTACACACCAGTTTTGGAGGGAGCAGCTCAGTAATGTTAGCTGTCGGCTTAAAGTGATATTTGCATACTTCTTCTCAAAGATATACTAACCAGCCAGAGTGCCTGAGAAGCATAAGAATGCTGTTCCGTACTGGGATTGATTGCGCTTTGTTGGGAGGTGGATACTAGGCCGTGATGGGCAGGTCTTGGCATTACGGTTGGCAGTCACCTGTTCAAACCTAGCCTCCTATCGCTCTAGATCCAAATTGATTTTCCTCAATCATTCATCATATTTACCATATCCCCAGCTTGAGTCAACGATTTGCATCAGCTACAACCCTCATCTCGGAAGCTTTGGAGCGATATCTTGAAAAAACTTGAAGGAAAACACAGTCCCTATGGCGCGTTGCTTCAGAAAAATGCTCCCTATTGTAGCGCGGATTTAGCCTTCCGCAATACCAGAGCGGCTATGAGGTGCTGAAAGACGCATTGCCCTGCCACAGCCTCCAGCGCGGCCTCATGACTCAACCCCAATATAGCTGCTCTCTCTTCATGAAACCATTGCAGGCTGCGGAATGTCCTTGTTCCTCTCTTCGCGCGTCCATAACCTCTCTTAATCGTTGTTAATTGGTATATGAGCATCACCTTTACATAATAATCTTGAGCGATGTGGCTTCTTGACATGATATTCGTGGGCCTCTGTCCTCTGACGGTCGCAGAATTTCAAAACTCAGGTCGTTGGATATTCATGAGTATCGATGGGCCTCGGTACAGCTCCAAAAAGGTCTTGGAGACTACTTTTGCCTTACTCTTGGATTTAACCGCGGAAAGGTGTGGTGTCATGGCGTCCCGGGGGATCTGACGGCGCATGCCTGCAAACATGCCTGGAAAGATGGTATATTGTTGCGACAAGTAGTCAAACGTGATCTTCAAGATCCGAAGTCTGCATGGAAATACTCAACGATCGACGCTGCTACGCCCATGGAAATTCATGGGCCTTCCAAGTAACGATGAAGAAGTTGATGCCGGGTTGTGGTCCCACTTACAAGATCAAGGTTGAGTGCATTTTGACCAACCTCAACTGCATTTCGAGGGGCAGCTGTTCACTCAACAGAGCTGAAAAAGATAGCGACCGAGGGTGGAAATTGAGACGGAAGTTGTCCACGGAAAGTGTTATACTGTAACAGAGCACTTCAGGGTTCGGCATGCACGTGCAACAACACACAGGGGCCTGTCCGGCAGGTCGGTAATCGAGAACGCGTTTCTGGTTGGCACCGACAAGACAACACCACCAACACCACCTAGAGGGGCAGCGGCTAGGGCAACGAACACCTAGCACAGCGGCAGCAACGAGAAACAAGACAGGATTGATCAAACACTCAGGAATTAGGTAGACGGCACCAAAAGGCCATGGAATTCATGATACTCTGCTCAAAACTGTAAAGAATGGCACTCTGCTAGCACTGTAAACTGTTCCGGACTCCCCTCTGCTAGCCCATTTTGGTCTGACATGTGACTAGACAAACTTCTCCTCCCCTTGCTACTACTCTACTAGCTCTGCATAGCACAGCCACTTTGCCTGGTTTCAATAGCGGGCACCCAGATCCCGCACTAAGCGCCTGTAGATGTCCGGTATGCTGTACAGGCCGCATATTCCAAGGACCCTGCCAGCCCTGTGTGCTGGCGCCGCAATCTTCTCCAATGCAGGTTGAAGTGTCGGATGCTCTCACTCGCTCAGAATGTCGAGCTCTAATGACAAATCATTAGCGCCGACTAGTAAGACATCAACTCCATCCAGTGAAGCAGTGGCTTCAACGTTGTCAAGCGACTCCTTGGTCTCAATCAGGAGCAAAACTGTCGATCCGAACTCGTTGAGCTGCTAGATCACGTCTTGCGCGGAGACTCTCTGGAAATCAAATTGTGACAATACTGCTGTCAAGGATCGCTTGTCATGGGGCTGAAATCTGTGTATGCCACGACTTGCTTTGCTTCCTCTGATTTGAGATTAATCTGTGTCAATCCAGGCTAGGTGGCGATGGGTGAAAGACGTACCGACGGTGCTGATATGCGGGGAGACGATTCCAAACGCTTCGCCATCGAGCACTCTTTGGACATAGCCCTGCCCACATTTATACGGCACACAAACGAATGGCGTGACACCGGCGGCGAGCGCCGCCGAGGACAATCTGCTGGCGTCCTTTTCTGAAAAGACCGAGTATTCGAGATCGATGAACACCGTGTCGTAACCCGCGGCTTTGGCAAGGGATATTGTCTCGACTCTGCAGACGACCTTAATCCTAACACCCTGAGAACGTTAGCAACATGGAATTATCCAGCCGTTGACCTTCTCATACGGTGCAAAGACGGTTTTGGGATACGATGCGGATGAGGTTGTTTTGGAGCATGACGACTTTTGTTGAAGGAGACGATCCTTGCAAAGGCGTAAAGACTGTCTTCCGCCAGCTTCGACAACGAAGGCACGATCCGACAGTCCGGCCATACAAAGGACATTCATCTATATCAACTCGCAGGAGAATATATCGAAAGAATTACACGCCGTCCATCCTGGCTCACTCACTGGCCAGGATACCTGATCAACCGAATCTATTCTCGGGGACCGCCACCGAAAACGTAAGGGTGCGGAACCCCACAGCCGAACCGATGTCGCTTCGACGACGCCAATCAGCTCGGGGGACTAAGTCCAGGGGTTTACGTCCATACCAAGAGTCAGCCTTGGGCTCATTGGACCTGACCCAAGTGTGTTGAATGGTTCCAAAGGATGCGCTTCTCTGCCCTGCCCAGAGCAATGAGATTGCCGATGCTGCAAGAATCAACTCAGCTCACTAAAGCATTTTACTATCGGGACATCTACGAAGTATCTTGGCTCATCTCCTCCAACCCTCGTAAGATCCACTGTGATCAACAGTAGACAGAGGTTGCATCGACAACGTTACAGAGATGGTGCTCTCGCCCGTAGAATTAGAAGAGATAGGAGGCACGATGCTTCAAAATGACCTCTATCGAGAGTTCAAGCGGCGACAAGTGTCCATGTTTCCCCTGGCTTGCGCTATCGGTACGGACTCATCATCGGTTTCTGGTGCCGGCCGGGCCAGGGGAGGCCCACGGAGCCTGCTCATCAGTTACAACTTGGTAGGGGCTACGGTTTTCTTTGTCATGACTGCCTTGGGAGAGATGGCCAAAACGATCCTGCCCATGAAGAAAGGATTTGGAGAATACGCCATACGCAAGATCGACCCAGCCTTTGGTGAGCCTTTTCGGAGTAATACAAATAGAGCGATGTGGATTGATAACTAGATATAGTTTCGCTACGGGAACTATTTCTTCAAATATATCATCAACATTCCCACCAACTTAACTGCCGCGGGACTGATCATCAGTTTCTGGCGACCGGATCTGAACGCGTTGATCTGGATCACAGTCTTTGGCATCGTTACAGTGTTTATCGATGTTCATTCTCCCCCATTCGGTTTCAATGCACTTACTGACAGCTCGTGTGGCAGGCTTTCCGCGTCAGAATCATGGCTGAGATCGAGCTCTGGCTCAGCCTCGTCAAAGTTATCACTTTGACCGTCCTCATCCTTACCTGCTTCGTTATTTCTATTGGGGGCAATCCCACACACGATCGGATCGGCTTTCGCTACTGAACCACTCTCGCAGCTTTTGCAATACCTTCTGGATGGGCAAGAGGCTACTTTCTGGGCTCGTGGGCCAGCATGTGCCAGGCTTGCTTTGCATACGCTGGGACTGAAGGTGTGAGCATGACTTTTGGAGAGGTCCTTAACCCCCGGAAGACCATTCCTCATACCGTGAGACAGACATTCCTGAGGATCGTCTGCTTTTACATCCGAGGCGTGATCGTGCTGGGCATGTGCGTACCCTACGATAACGAGCGACTCGTGGGCATTACGAAAACAGCGACCAGTGCAGGTGAGAGGATCTCCACATGACCTTGTCTACACATATTTGATCGACGACTGATCCCTTCCCGCGCTTCGCCTTCGCGTTGCTATCAGTTTAGCTAGGATCGGCGTGTTCCTCGAGATCATCAATGCCGCGCGGTTAGTATTTATCCTGAGCGCTGCCATAACTAGTGATCACCGCGTCTGCCCGTCTTTCACTGTCAGGTATACTAATATAGACTAACTCAGAAATATACGTCGCGTCAAAGTGTGTCTACGGCTAACGAGGGATCGTTAAGCCCCTTGCATTATAACAGGGCTCTGACAACGGCAACCGGATCATGGCTGTCATCTTTGCCTCTATGTTCGTTGTGGTTTGGCCATCCAAACGCCAACAAGTCCGCTGCTGCCGTGTTTCAATACTTTGTGAGCTTGATGATTATGTTTGCGGTGCTAAACTGGATCGTAATTCCTATCCCCTTCTTGTCCTTCAGGCGACCTCTGAAGGCGCAGGGTATTCGAGTCGAGGAATTCCGTACGTTTGCTTCCTGCAGCCTTATGGCGCTTGGCTTTGCCTTGTTCGTCTCCTTTGCTATCCTAATATTCAGTGGTCAGTAGGATCCCTGAGAAAATTCCGCATTCATACCGCATTTCAAAGCGAGCACGTTCGTATTGAAATACCGGGGGATTGTCCTGTTTTGCGGAAATTTTTTGGTCTGGCAGATATTGAGACGTACAAGACTTCCATGTCGGTGGACTTTGTTACTGCCGGGCAAGATGGTACCGACATGGAGTCACGAAACAAGGTACAGACGGCGGTAACTGCCAAGAAAGCTGCGGAGCAAAAATCTCGTTTAAACCTAGGAAAGCAGATGCACAGTGTTTTCATCTAAAGTGAAACGTAGGCTGCACAAAAGAAGGCGAAGGTCTGGATGGTAAACAGCACAAATGTTTGAATATGCTTCCACCAGCTCTCAACAGCTCATGCAAGTCCATTTCACCTCTGGACCTCTTCAGACTGCGAAGTCTTGGACCGAAAGTGTTGCGTACGCTCCGCACTCATGAGATGCCATGAATAATTTTATTAGAAGGCCGGCGGCAAACCTCTTTAGCACGGGGGAACTCGATTGGCCAAATTCCAGAGATTCGATATGTAGCCTTATCGAGTCAAACGGCAGTTCCAGTCTGTGGAGAGCTAAAGGGCCTGCTAGAAAAGCATTAATTGAATTGAAGGCTAAGGTTATACAACTTATCGACGCGCGCAGCTACGAGGAACCAAGCTCTACAATCTAGACATTTTGGCTTTGCATGACCGGCGATTGCGCTGAGAAAGCTCGGCCACACTTGTTGTTTGTACACAACGACCGTGCCGTCTACCAGAAATGTCGAAGCCTGATCAAGGGTAGCGGACTGATGAAAGACTACCCCAGTGTGACGATTGGAGAGAAAAATACGCTCAAGTTACTTGCTACAAGAATGGCTGCTCGCGATCGACCATTAGCGGTTACAACCAGTGAATTAGCTTCTATGATCAGTATATCTGGTAACAGGATATTCGTGGGTCCTTCATCCACATCCATCTCGCCAAAACATGTTGCCACTGTTGGAGGGATTATCAGGCACGGTAGTGATGTTTTCATCTTCTCCGCTGGACACCCTTTCAGCTCCAGTTCAGATACCTCCAAATCCCAAACGGAGTGTCTCAGCGAAGAAGGACACCCTGAGAAACCTAAAGGTGCCGCAACCATGAAAATGTTTAACGAGGCAGGCTCACTTCAACTGGACCAAGTTGGAGGACGGTTTGCTTCCGACTTATACATACACGCCTCGGACTTGGCCGCCGCTTCACATGTTCGAGTTAACCTCAGCCAATCTCTGGCACATCGATCTCAGACGACTCACGATCAACCTTCTGGCCAAATGAAGGGAGACGAGGCATTCGGATTGGCGCAGATTCAGGGGCGGCGGCGTGATCAATTTGCTGAGAAAGAAACGAACCCTATCGTTTCCAGCAATTTGGACTGTGCACTTTTCAGACTTACGGATGATGAGTAATCGGAGGTCTACGAAGAGTCTACGTAGGACCAACATCATCGTACCAGACTCAGATAATGACGCCATCAAGGTTTTCTATACTGCGTCAGGGGGACTTCTGATTGGAACGCTGGATGGCGCGCTGTCGCATATCCGTCTACCAAACAGCAGCACGTTCCACGAAGTCTATGAAATTCAATTCGATGTCCCTCTTGCGCAAGGCGACTGTGGCTCATGGGTACTGGACGCAGAAACTGGTGACCTCTACGGCCATATAATCGCCGGCTGTGAGCGCAAGGGGATCGCATATATCATGCCTGCGCGGGACCGTTTTGACAACGTACAGGCATGCCTTAACCAAGGTCTGCTGGGAGACTCTGACCTCGTCCTGGAAGCATTGTTGACATCCGAACGCCCAGCGTTCTCGACCGACGCCACGCAGACGTCCACATGTCCAGAGGAGCGCGAAATAGCATTGCAAACAGCAAAATCCAACAACACCGGGTGTTACATCTGAGTGCATTCAGCACAGTCACACCATCTTCCCAGGGCAAAGAAAGCTTCATCAGTCAAAGTCTGGGCTTCATCCTTGCGTAGAGCCATGCAGAGTACCAAACAAAATGACTGCTCATGATGCATATTATGAACCATCACACGAGAAGGTACAATGTTCAGAGGAGATTTGCATAGAATTTGACGCAGCAAGAACGATCTCCGAACCCGATTCCTCCCTCCAGCCTGAATCTCAACTTCCACCCGAAAGCACAGTACACGTCGATGTGTGGCCTGCCGAGTTCAAGAGACCACGAAATTTAAATTTAGCAATGGAGAACAGACCTTGCATTGAAGTGGCGGAGGAATCGCGTCACCTTCGGGACATGATCAGCGAGTTTATGCAAGATCCTAAAGGATACGGTGGATCCGATCCCCGAGCGGATCAGGTGAGAGACTTCTGTTTGGGAACGTGCCTGGGCGCTGTTCGAGACCAACAGGAAGCGTCTTATGTGGCGTGGCTGGATGAAAGGAGTTTCGAAAACGGCCAGTGCTGTCCACGGCCTTACCAGGGACCACTGACAGCGCGCGAGCTTTACGCTCAGTTAAGAAAGCCGGTAGGACACCTCTTCTTAGATCCGATCAGTCATGGAATGTCACTCACGTCTTTGGGTGTAGCGATTTCGACCTCGGTCATCTCTGGAAATGGAACACCACGAGAATCCATCGAAAATGGTTGCTCCGATGAATATAAAACGTCGACGCATGAGATATCTTCGGCATTTCAAGCCCACAAACGCCATGGAAAGTCTCAACGAGACAAAAAGTCAAAAGCCAGCAAGTTCATTCGGTAAAGGGGTACAGAGCATGGAGCCAGATGCGGAGCGGCGGCTAATGTTCGTGGTCCTTTACCAATTGCACCTTTTATCGATATTTTCTATTCTCTCCTCGTGCTAATATATTCGCAGATTCATCACCGATTTAGACCCAAAAAGCATCTATGCCTTGATATCCACCGTTTCCAAAACTCAGGCCGCGCCTCTTCGAGACGCAATATACAAGCATTTAGCATTCCAGGCGCACTTCGAGGCATCGTTTTCGGTCAGTATCATTTCAGGTTCAGCGGGAATGCCAGCACTAATCAAATAATGGTTACTAGTTGGGCGGATTTCACGGGTTCCCGCTCGTTTTTCACCTACCATACTTCGTATGGAGGAGGTCGTCCACTCAACCAAGGCTAGATGACCGTCGCTATGCGGACGGACGCCCATTAAGAGGTATGGTGGATGTCTCTTTCCTGGACCCGCGTCAGATCAATGGCCGCGACTGCCTTCACGAGGCCCAAATATCTTGCGTCATAGCCGCTGGACGACCATCGTTGGATCGCTTACTGCTTTGTTGACACTTACTTTGACGGCGAAGATGAATGGAGGGAAAGTGTGGTTGAGTATCGGAGAGACCGGGAGTCTGAATATGGCTTTAACGCCGACCCCCTCACGTACGGCAACGTCGACGCGGATATGCCAATCCTGGATCCCAGAGGATATTTTCTCAGGGTTCTTGAGCATCGGCTCTATCAAGTCTGGCGCGAATGGTTAACGGTAATTGACAAGATAAAAGAACATCTCCAGCGACAAGATCATGTAAGGCCCAACATTTCCTTTTCATTCTCCGTGGGGTGTTCTCCCCTCCATGCCTGATGCTCAGCACATCGCCGTGATACATATCAACGCAACTTGGGATTCACCTCGATTGGCACGTCGTCGTAATATTCGAAGCACACTAGATCTAGTATCAATTCATCATACAGGACCGAGCAAACCACATTACGAAACGAAAACTACCTGAAACCTTCGATCAGCACGAGTGCGAGGAGCTCAGGAGGTCACTTGATTGGTGTTCGGAATTCATGAGACTGTCGACACAGCTGCGCGATACATTGGGTCGCATTCTTGCTGTTTACGAGAAATTCAACCATCAATATCTCTCCTCTTGGCGTTGCGGCACTCGGTCTCTCGACGCCATCCAAACAACATTCAATGAACTTGCAATGTTGAAGTCTGAACTTGAAGCTGTGTTGCAGCGTTGTACCAGAATGGCCCGCAGTGTAAGGTCCTATGATTATCACACCACACAGTTTGCATTCCTTCGGTCGCACTAACCTAATGCTCATTGTACAGCTTGAGTTCCATCTCGGTACCAGCATTCAACAGCTTGAGTTGCTCCAGCTCCAGCTCAATATTGGATCTAGGAAGGTGGATGAGGACGTCGGACACTTCTCCTGGTTGATAATGGTACGTTCACCGCGTCCTGCCATTTAAATTAATTTTCGCCTGCTGATTTCTGTAACGCTACTTTAGGTTTACGTCTCCCTGGTAGCAATTGCGACGAGCGTCTTCTCCATGGATCCGGTGGTTATCCCGTTTATACAACGATCTTTTGGATCTTTCCTCGCTGTGATATTGGTGCTCTCTTTTACCGGACTAGTGGTTCATTCCCTTGTATTTTGGGACAAATGAGTCAATCCTCGTTTGATCAAGAACTCTGGGTTTCGAACGGAAAATTTGCCGCGCTTCGCTCCAGGAGCTTGGCGGTCATCAGCGAAAAAGTTACTTGAAGATACGGTCTGAATTTCTGGGGCATGTGGCGGGCGGATGGAATTTGCAATTGCAGGGGCAGTGTTGCTGTCTGAGGAATGCGCGTGTCAGGCCGCGTATTGCTATGATCCGCTATGGAAAAAAACAATAACAAAAAAAAGAATAATGTTGTTGGAAATGCATATCTTGACTGCGTGTTCTAGCAGTCCAAAAAGAGGGATAGCTGTCAGCGGTTGAACCCTTTTGAAGTCTTCGACGTTCCGGCGACGAACTCCGCCTGACAGACACAAGGCCGTCAAGCCAAGATCGATTCGCCTCAGTACTTAACAACATCATGACAGTCTTGTGTAAAAGAAAAGGCTCGGCGAACGGCAAATCACGAGGGGAAGACGGAGGACAACTATTCGCCCGATATCACCAATGTACCCACGTACTTTCTAGGAGGTGCAAGGGTACTCCGTACCTGGTAGCCACAAAGCCTCCGTACCACTTCAGCTGACGCCGTTTGCTCCTCCCTTCCTTGCTTGCACCGGCGATCAGTGGGTGAGGACTTTGCGCTACATCTAAGTGGACTAGTTACTTTCATACAGGGACAGGTAGGTACGTAGGCAGGCATCGGAGGTACATACCGTACCGAGTACTTTACTCCGTCATCTACTTCAGGCCTGCCTTCGTTCCTTAGTCCGACATCCAGCGGTCGGCGATAGTGCTGAAAATAATGGGGGAGCTAAGCTATGTACAAGCTACAAGCTACAAGCTCCGGTGTCAATAAGCATAAGATGATAATCGATCCTTCGCCCGGGGGGGAAGAGGGGGCAGAATTGCCAAAAGGGTAATAGCACAAAAGGGTAAAGGGGCATTTCTGGTATGGGGGTTGGTAGTGGGGGGTAACAGATCTAGACTACAAAGGATTCGAGTGCGAACAAAGGGAGGGAGGAGGCATGAAGGTGAGAATGAGCATGAGAATGTGAATGAGAATGCGAAACCCGGAGATACAACTTGAGACCGAAGAGGAACCCAGATGCACATGGCATGGAGTCGAATCCTGCCCACAGTGGCGAGTAACCCTCTCCGGAGAAGCCGGACTTGATATTTACCACAAACAACCAACTAGGGAGTTGCCATTCACTCTAGGGATAGGTACCTGGAGACCTCAAGCGCGCTGGGTCCCAAGGTGCGGACCGCGACCGGCCGCGAGAGTGATGGTGGCAGTGAGGGTGAGCATGACCATCGGTAAGCAGGATTATCTAATGTTCGCAGAAACGAAAAGGTGAACGGTTGAAGACGGGAAAAGGGCAATTCGGGGGCCATTGAAGGGAGAAATAGATAAGGAGTATTTCTACCGAGGTGCCTGATTAGGGTAATGTTCATCCCGGCAAAATATACCGATGTTCAACGAGGAAATGGCGGAAGTAACGAGTGAGGATGATGACAGTCCCGCAACGGGGAGCCAGCACTGCACAGCGCTGCCTTTCGAAATCCAAATGTCATCCAGATGGATTTCCTCCACGAAACGCAATTCGTTAGTTCTGTCACCTACCATACTAGTAACCGTTCTCGTTAGCCAGAGAGTTGGCTTCCCCGCGTAGTCAGCAGTCATCACCAGCGCCACGGGCATCACAATTGATGTTGACGATGGATCACAAATGAGGGCTGATGATCTGCATAGCTACCAAGCTACAAAACGACATACGTGCGTACGTGCTGAGGTACAGAGTCCTCGGTCCGCAGCATCCACCCCGTTCCACCAGATGGAGGCCAGAAGCACGGATCATCATCACGGAGAAGATAGGGATGGGATGAGATGACGGACGAGGATCATCGCTTTCATTTCTGATTTCTGTCTGATGGCGATTATTACATGCATACCATCAGGTAAAATCGATGGCCAATGGTGGTTTTTTTCCATTATTTGAGGAACTTTTGTGCGGTTCCTCGTGTCGTTCTCCGTAAGAAAAAGCCAGGATAAAATCGTTTAGCAGCGTCGCCGCGGGCTCACTAGAGTACGAGAGAGGTCTCGTATTTCGAATGTGGTTGCGTGTTGCGCGCTATTTGTTGCTTCTCTCAAATGTCAGTGCCGCATGTGAAGGGGGACAAGAGCAAGGGAAAAGGGAAATAAAATGATGACGGGAATATTTCCCGGTGCACCCTTTTTTGGTAACCATGTGCCTTGGAGGCGTACCGTATGGCTCAATGGAAAAGGAGTGACAGATAGATGTCGTAGTGAAAAATTTAGTGGCTGCGTGACTAGCTACCAAGGTACTGTACAGGTAAGGTACCAAGTAGTTCGCTCGGTGGCTGAACGTTTAATTTGTTCCAGGGTTTACCCAGGCCCCGGTTCCTGGGGGAGTGCACCGCTGGCTTCGCGTGCAAGGGACCTTGTAGCGTAGACTTGCCTCATCAGGCCAGCCACGCCCCTCCTACGCCAGCCAAGCCAGGGCAGTCGTGAGTGGTGAGTGGCCAATGAAGAGGGTGATTGCGAGGGCGCCCCTCAAGGCTCGCACCTGCTACTGCATTTCGCCTAGCCTGGGGACCTACCAGGGACCGATCTCGTGGTTCTATGACATGTGCTGCGCCTTCTGATGAAACTTTTTTTTGCGAGCTCAAGAAAGTCAAAGGTCTTGGGTAGAGCAGGTGACGATGGTGACAGCAAAAGTCAAAACTGGGTTGCTGTTACATGGTCGTGGATGGACAGAAATAACTGAGACCACTTGGACGCGCTGGGTTCTAGACATGCGACGTCAGAGACACACAGCCGACACAGCGAGGAGGAATGAAGAGTCAAAAGAATGCAGAAGGAAAAATCTCGTCTGATTGACCATGCACGCACTAGCTGCTGTTATACATAGGGTATCATATCAAATTCGTCATCGTGTGGACCACCGCGGTGGCATCCGAAGCAGGCTGCTGCTCCAGGCCCTCCCGCTCTCTTCAGTCTGGTTTCTGAAGATGCCAATAATATCCCTCCCTCGACATAGGAAACGGCACCGGGTGCTTCTGTAAATCGCTCGCTGTGCCTTTTTGCTTTCCCAAACCCTCCCAAGTTGGTTGGAGTGACAGTGATGGTACATTAGTGCATGCGCGTGATCAGTGGGTCACATGAACCATGCTGGGTCTTCGCTCATGCGAGTATCCGTATGCTGCTGAAGCACGCGCATATGCATATTGTGAGTCGTAGTTGTACGAGTAATCGTGTTGCTGTTCTTGGAGATCCCGCAGCAACTCCTCCTCCAAGTCCTCTTCCTGGTCGAGCAAGTCCTCCACCGCCGTGGCAACTCTGTCATGCGCCAACCTCAAACCTTCCGTGGTATCGACCCCGGAGACGGTGCAGATGCTGAGGATGGAATTGAGTTGGGATCGTTGAGTCTGAAACTGAGCTTCGATTCTCTTGGAGGCGGAGATGATGGAAGCGTACGGCCTTGAGGCCTGGGCAATAGGTGAAGGGGCCACGGGGCTGGACGGTGCGGAGGAGACAGGCGAGTTGGTGGGTGTGCCGGTATATAGATTGTAACGGGCTGAGAGGGGAGAATGGGAGGCGATCAGAGTTGCCAATTTCCAGATATCGCAGTAGATGCATGGTTCTGAGCAAGCCGACAACAGAATCTTCTGCGTAGCGGCCAGTTGCTGTTGGGTGGAGACAAGAGGGCGGAGGCCCCTCAGAAGTGCGGGCTTTGCTCTGCAGAGTGAAGCCATTGTGTTGTGGACGGACTGCGAGGATAATGGGGTTGTTGAGGTAGATATCGGGATGGTTCTGTCGAGCGGGGATTAGGTGATGGAATTCGACAAGATTGATGTCTGAGACGTGGGAGCACGGACACTGTCGATCTCGGGTCTGTGACGCAAGGAGATGCTGAGGCGGATGTGAGAGGGATAGATATATCCCATCTCACTCTGGTGCTCGGAGGTTATATGATGACTACTTTGGCCGTTTGGGATGGGCAGCATCATATGTATGTAAGCAGGTGACTCCATGGAGCCATGGAGCCCTGTCTTCACTCACCGTCACCTGCGTTGAAATGCAGTCGGGATCACAATGCGGCCACGCATCTGAACCCCCAAACAAGGGATGGCGGGAACCGGGTAGCATTGTGCAGGTCGAATGGGAACCGTTGTTTACGGATTCCACCACGTGGAGAAACAGGGATGGGTGGATGGGTGGGAGCAGCTGGCACGGTGAGCGAGACAAGACACCAGCAAAAGGACAAAAGGCCCCAAAGGGCCAAAAGGGCACAAGCCAACCAATCTTGCCAGTGAAGCGGTGACATTCGGATTGAAGCCACCACAGATGAAGATCCGTGACTAGGCGCCTCGCTTAAGGCCCCAAGTGGTTCAGCCGGTGCCCGGAAAGGGGGACCGGTGGCTCTTGGTTGCCCTGTGGTGGCCCTGGTGACCCAACTGGGACAAGTGGCGTGCAGCCTGGGCGACCTGGCATGAACGAGGGGTACCATGGGCACCACCGCGCACGATGGCCAGGCAGACTTCCACCGTCAGCGGTGAGCCTACCGGCCTACTTGAATGGGACTAGCCCTGAGAGTCTCCAGAGCTCTGACCGACCCAGTCCACCAGCCCACCAGCCCAAGAGCCCTGCTAGGCGTTAGTCATCTCATTTCCCTGCTCGTTTGGTAAAGACTCACGTCCCCTTTCGCCCACTTTTCATTTCTCCCTCACCTCTCTCACTGATTATTGCCCGCACCGCCAATTCATTCTCCCACCCCTTGATTGTTAACGCGGAAAATAAAATGCTTTGCCTCTTGCTCAATCTGCACTCCGTCACTTCCCTCATGGTTGTTCCGCCTTAGGACGAGGCGATACTGCAGCCACACGGAATGCCAGATGATTACGGAGTGCCGGGTCTTGTCACCCTTCAGCAGCCCAACTAGTGAGGCAGCCCTCCAGCCGCTCCAACCTCACATGGCTTGCCCCTTGCACGAGTCATCGCATTGCTTCTCTTCTCCGCGGTAGCCGGTCGTAGGCGTCAACCTCACCCCAACACAACACTTGTCCGATTCATCCCATGGCCTCTGCACTTTCTACGCTTGTGCTTCATCATCCCCCATGATTCACCCGTTGCCTTCTTCTGGAGCCTGATTTGAATTCATTTCCAAATCTACCTCCTCCACGCCGTTCAGCTTTCTGAAGAGTCGCTGCAGAGTGGCACGGCATCTACTCTGCCCCTGTCCGGCCCATGATGGCTAAATTTCGGACTTCCATTGTCTGCCTCCACCAAACTGCTGCTAACTTCTCCGCTTGTCAGCCCTACTTTCACGCTCCACTTGGCACTCACTGGTCCTCGTCTGCAACATTGACGTCTCATTGTCCGTATCAAGAGCGTCGGTATCATCGACTCATGCTCTTCTTGTCCCTGTCTTGGTGCCTCGAGACAAGCAGCTTATCCCCGCCGTTGTCCCTTGAAGCGATGGGCACTAAAGTACAGCTCTGGTGACATGACAGGTTGTGGGATAATCATCACGGACGCAAATCGCGGCTGAATACGAGATTGTATACGACCTAATCCAACCGGCCTGCCCACCAATACCCAGTACTTGGCACACAAACTCAAGTTTTTTCGTCTCCTTCGTTTACCATCATTGTTGCACCGTGTACCACAACATGACCTTTTGAGTCATTCCCGGTGAGAAATGCGGTAACGAGACCACCCAAGTATAGCATGTGCCTTTGTATGTTTTTGACAGGACTTTACTTCACCGCGGTTTATCTCAAAATTGTTCCAGAACAATTTCCAAGCCACTTCGTCTCGGGAAGGTAGGTCCAAGGGCTTTGATCTCTATTGGTGCGACATTCCGGTTCCTCTTCGCTTTCTATTGACCAGCGGCCGTTTGACTCATGGGCCAAGAGTCTTCCTACTCCTCGTAGTGTCTCGCCCTGGATCGAGACATGCTCGACTTGACTGTTCCCTGGGGAAAAGGATGGTGAGAGTCATTCCCGCGGCGTATCATCGTGGCTTGCCTAGCTTTCATTTACACTGCTCAGAGGCAGATGTCTAACCAACTTGTACGAAGTCTAATCCCCGAAACCCCGTCCAGACAAGTCGGTGAAGTGACACACATTGGTGGCAGCCAAGAGCCATGTTCTAAAAGTCCGCGCCACGAACCACACACATCAAACTCCGGTGAGTGAAAATGAATCAATTATCTGCCATGGGCGTTGCGCAACGGGTGACACACAGAACGTCAAAAGCCGATATCTGCAAGGGGCATGGCCTATCCACCCACAGCCATCGCACTTGGCTCCTCATTGCACAGCATCAGCATGATCCTCTGTTCCTGCATTCTTGTGCTCACCGCCTATCACCGGTCAAAAACCCTGCACAACAAAAAAGAAAAAGGGAAGGGTCGCTCCACTTGGTTGGAGAGAAACGCTGCTGCATGTCTCTCGATTCCCATTCAATTGTCCGTGTCAACAACCCAGTCGGGATTGAAATAGGATCGGACATGAATTCGCTGTGGCCCCGACGCACGAACGACCAAGAACGAGAAGAGATGAAAGAAGGAAGCAGGAGCAGGGGAAGGGGCAAAGTCTGTGTGTGTGGAAGGTTACAACCCTGCTTGTGTGCAGAGGCCGAACGACTACTGAATCCGGTGCATGCGTGCATGCATGGGTGAATGGGCAGACGATACGGCGGTAATCTGTCGAGTTAGAGTCGATCGACGCACTCGAACCATAGCTCAGTAATATATACCCTTTTAACTGTCTTACGCTTATGAGAAAAGATCAGGATAAACTCATCATATCCACGCCAGTCCTGCACCTCGAGTCATCGATTAGGGAGCGAGGAAGGTATAGGTCTGTCCATACGCTGGTCAAGATATTGTATCTCATATAATATAAAACTACCGATATAATGTTAGCTCGAAAAATATATCTGGGTATAACAAGTACACGGAGCTACCGATATCCATACCTATATGAATACATTCCTCCTACCCTAACCTCAACTTTGTCTGAAATAATACACTCTGAACAAAGAGTCTTCAGAGAAATCACTACTTTTCAATTGGGGGGATTGCCCGGCGGAGATACATCCACACCATGCCCTTATAGAGCGTATACATCTACGGATATGGCATTGTACGTGCATAGAAGAAAGGAAGAGTTGTCCAGATCACTAGTGGGTTAACTTTACTCACTGACCAGGGCCACTTGTTCGCATCGCTGTCGTGATCGATCGCGGGGCGGGGAAGGGAATACAGTGCACTTCTCGTTCCTCTCGACGGGGTTATGCTGGGGCCATTCTATACTGGATATTGTTGAACGATGTACTTGGTTCGGTGCGTATCTTGTATCTCATGCAGCAGCTCTGGTCACGTCTACTACCATATCCCTCGTCCCCTTGGCCGTTGACTTTTGACTTTCCATGCTTGAGCTCTGACCACGTACTACTTGGCTTGCCGCAAGTCCCGATCCAAGTCCCAGTTTGAACATGTTCAGAACTGAGATTTGTCTCGAGGTAACGTATTCCTCTTTTCGCCCACTACCTAGCTCCACGTAGGCACACTCGTTAGACATCAATCTGCTGATCGCGTTTAGCTACCGCAAATCCACTCTCAGAGCATCCCGGTGACGAGACTAGTATCTTGGTGGTGGAGGCGCCCCATAGCCACCTTGGCCCTGCGGCGGATATCCTCCTTGCGGGGGATATCCTCCCTGTGGTCCACCCTGAGGAGGTCGCCCATACCCACCCGGTGGTTGTTGTCCATAGCCTCCCTGAGGTTGGCCATAACCACCCTGTTGACCGGGATATCCACCCTGCCCAGGGGGAGGTGCACCATACCCGCCTTGAGGCTGTCCGTATCCTCCACCTGGAGCGCCACCATATTGTCCCGGAGGAGCACCATAGCCGCCACCTGGAGGACCTCCGTAGCCGCCGGGACCACCTTGAGGAGGTCGTGCGCCAGCTTTCTCATCTTTGGTGTCGTAGCTTGAGTCGATACTACCGAGCAGGAGTTTGATGAGCCAGAGTTCGGGCGAGAGTTGAACGGGTGGGTTAGCACGAGACATTTCGTCGGCTTCGACCTCGTAGTCTGTGTGGCACGTCAGCATCTCGAAAGAAATTGAAATTGACTTCATGGTCTGGTTCTCCGAGCAGGAACGGGTGAAGACATACTGGACGTGCAATCAATGACATCACCGATCGAAGGCTCTTCGTCGAGCTTGCTCAGAAACTCCCTCGCCTTCAGATCGTTGCCCACTTGTGCAAACTGGAATGCCAGTGCTCCCTTGCCGTACCGTGGGTTACGTGCCAACTCGCTCGACGCCGAGGAGATAATCTTGGCCACATCCGCCGAGCTTTCCCCTGTAGGCTGACCGTCTGTGATGGTGATAACCAAAACGGGCTTGCGCAAAGTTCCACGTCGAGCATTCTCAAGCACAAGAGGGCCAAGAATCTTGTTCTGCAATTCGCGACCCATGGGGGTAAGGCCCGAGAAGCGGGTGCGTGCAATCATCTCGTTAACTTGTTGCTCATTGCGAATGTTGTTGCCCTGGTCCGGAGAGTTCATGAAGCGGACTTGAATACCGTCGTCGTCGAAGAGGCTAGTAGCAAAGGCGACGCGCGACAATATCAACTTCAGGTCATCAATGCGCTCACCGTTCTCTTCGAATTGCATGGATCCGCTGTCATCAATGTACAAGATGACGTCGTAGAGGGCCAATTTGACAATATCAGAGGCTATTTCGGGAGAAATTCGCCATGCTGCGGCCAATTGAGCGACTTGTTGAGCGGCGCGGTTAGCGATCTGGTCAAGCATCGGATGACCGGGTGGGTAGAAGTTTTGAAGTCCTTTCTCTTGAATGGTGGCTTGGAGAAGCTGCTTGTATGCGCCTGCGTTGCCCACTGGAGCTACAGGGGCGCCGCCAGGGGGACCACCGCCATACTGCTGAGGAGGACCACCGGGAGCGGGACCGCCGGGGTAGGGAGGTTGCTGGCCCTGGAGACAAAGAGGTGTTAGTTTCACAATTCGCAAAGGTCACGCGCGCGTAAGCATGAGGCAAGGGTGCAATGTGCTGCGACGAACATATCCATATCCACCAGTTGGCTGTTGCTGTTGATACTGCTGTTGCCCATATTGGTTCTGTGGCGGTTGGTACTGCGACTGGTATGACTGATATGCTGGCTGTGGTGATTGATATCCTCCTTGTTGCTGCTGACCGTACGGGGGCTGTGGCTGTTGTTGTTGGGGCGCTTGCCACTGCGGAGGTTGGTAGGGTTGAGGTGATGCACCTGGCCTGGGAGGAAGAGCAGGTTGATTGTATGGCGATGGAGGTGGCTGTTGTTGCGGCTGTTGCTGAATATAAGGCGGTTGAGAGGGGTACGGCGGCTGCGGGGGTGGCGCGCCAGGATATGCACCTCCCGGTTGAGTAGACTGGGCGATGCGAGAGAACTTGCTCATGGTTTGGGGAAGAGATAGTTTGAAGTTGGCGATGGAGCAGTGTTGAGAAGGAGAGGGAGGTTAAGAATGGATAAAGTCGTTTGCGGTTTGCGGTACAAGGCACTCCGTGTTGTGGGCGTCGTGAGGGCAGAACTGGGATGACGCAACACAAAAGGGAGAATTTGGTGGATTGAGATTCCAGATCACGCCGCCAAAATAAAATTTGTGGGAAGAACCGGAACCACGCTTACCGGTTGACCTGGTCTAGGAGCACCAGCACCAGGAGCAGAGGTCGGAGGACCACCTGGATATGCTTGATATTGCTGCTGGCCCGGCTAAATAACAACGGAGCTATGTCAGTCTTTGCTAGCCCAGCGCACTCTTACAAAGGTTGACTCACGTATCCACCAGCAGGAGCCGCTCCAGGAGGAGGAGCACCACCACCAGGTACTGGAGGACCACCGGGATAGGCAGCCTGCGCTGCGGCAAGTTTGGAAGCTAGCTATACGCGTCATCAGCCAGGGCAACCTGTTTGATTGCAGAAACCAAGATGGAGGCGAGGCGCGAACAGGGTGATTTGGGCATGAGATTGAACTGGGACGAGGAGGGTTTGGTATTGGTGCGGGGCATGTCGAGGGGTGAAAGTCAGTCGAGGGGGACGAGAAGAGGGGACTTACACCCATGATTGAGCGCTGTCTGGTTGCAAGATGCTGGGAGAAAGAAAGAAGAGACGAGAGGAGAAGAGAGAGGGAGGATTCTTTTAAAGGAAGAAGACCAAGATACCGACTGTCACAACTTGATGTTTGCGCTTGATGTCGGTCACGTCTTGGATCTCAGCTTCACCAAACAAACAGGCACAGGACAGTGAAAGACCGGGAGGGGATAGCCTGGCAGTTAGTGGCAGGGCTGTGCTGCAGGGGCCATGAGGGGCCTAGTAGGGATTGAGGGGGAGAGGCCTTAGCTGCCTGGGTACCCGCTGAGGAGCTATAAGCTATGTTCTTAGGTGCCACCACTGCCTACTACTTGTTAGGTATCCAGTACTGTAGGTGCCGGGGTGCCCTTGAGCCAATAACCCTGCCTACCACTCGCCACCAGCTACCAGCCACAGTCTTCACGTGCACGATCCGTCAACAACTCACCACGACGCCACTGCAACATAGACACTTCCAATTGGCCTCTCCCAGCACAGCCTCGTCTCGCTACCAGAACTACTGGAACTGGGCGCTGATTCCACCCCTGAACAGCCACAACCCCCTTCTATGTACCTTTTCGCTTCACCTGCCGTCTCTCCAATGTCGCCGCTTTATCTGCTGGTTTGTCTGTTCGTCTCTTGGCTCGAGAGCCCAAAGTTCCAACATGCCAACGACGTCGTCCATCATCTGCGAACATCTGACACAATTGTACTGCACCTAGCCGACACTAGACTTCAACTCGTTGAACTCTTCAAGATCTGAATTGGACTATTTTGGTGGCACCAGTATCCCCGCTTTCCGCAAACAAGGCTAGCGAGCCCGTTATCCGCGTCAGCAGCGCCATCTACCACCGTCCTTTGAATCTGTCTGGAGTGGCCGATCTTTGGCAAAATGCCGAATTATACTGCACCCCAAAGATCATCGATATCTCAATTTGTGAGCTTCACGCAGACAAAGGAAAGCATAGCTGCGAGGGTGCGTAACTTGGAGTTTCTGGGAGGGCAACTGACTGAGGATGGCCGCAGTTTCTTAAATCACACGACTGGAACGTGGAAAGAGCACTTGATTCGTAAGTCAACCGTTCCCTTCCTCTTCTATCCTGCCCACCTGAGAGGCAGAGGCACATACTGGATTGGGAGACTTGGGGTGAAGTTGCTTTGGCTATGATTTGCCGAGCGCCGGCCCTGTCTGGCCTTGCCTTACCTGGCCTTGCGCGGACTTGGGCGCAGATTGACGAGGGCACGACAAGAAGAATGAAACAACAGCGTGTTTCTTGAAGCCGCTGTCGCTCACTGATGGCGGACACGGACGTGATCCTCAGCCTCGCTTCCCAACTTGAAGGCTGCGTCCGTGGCCGCCAAGACTGTTGCATCACCACAGTCGCAGCCGGTTACTTCAGGCGCCGAGCTGCTGGCCCATCTTCTCTTGCTCCTTCCTTCCTCACTCCAGCCACTACATCGACACTCTCGGTTGACCGGGGATCCTATTTCTCCTCCTCATCTGCGTATCTTGCATCCGTCAGCTTATCACTATGCCAACGAAACGCATATCCACCGATCCTCCTCTCTCACAGGACCCGAAGGCACCCAGAGCCAAAAAATCCAAGCCTACTGCCTCCCACTCGGCGCAGATTAACAGAATCAAGTCGGCGATGGCTGTGGCTCCAGTCATGACGGACCTATCTGCGAGGCTGGCAGCGAGAACCAAGTCAGGCAAAGGTGGCGGCAAGCCGAATCGTTCGAAGGCGTCAGGGTCCGTGCATGACTTGTTGCCGATCAAGAGTAACTGACGCAAACTCCGTTGTAGGTTTTATCAGAGTGGATCCACCAACAATGCTGTCCCTCCACTTCAGCACAATCTCAACAAGCTCTTTGACCAGTATCGTGGTATGGTGTTTCGCCGACGCGTGGCAGTGACTAATCATCACTAACTCACCCCCAATAGATAATCCCAAGGATGCTCCAGACACGATCGGCATAGAGGGGGCTCAGAAATACTTGGGCGATATCGGTGTGGAGCTGGACGAAGTCGCTCATCTCGGCGTCTGCGATCTGTTGCAGTGTCCCTCCATTGGCGAATTCGAGCGCGAATCTTTCATTTCCGGCTGGCGAAGCGTATCCATAGGCGACAAGGCATATGATACCGCAGCACGACAGGCACAGTACGTTGAGGTGATTAGGAAGAAACTGGTGGATAATCCGGCATACTTCAAACAAGTCTACCGCAATGCATTCAAGCTTGCGAAGCCTGAAGGTCAACGAAGTGTTCCGATGGATTCGGCAATTGACTTCTGGAACATGTTGTTTCGCCAAGGCAAAGGTGGGATCGAGTGGAACTCTCCTACGACCAAGTGGTTGGACCTGTGGTGCGAGTTCTATGAGTCCCAGAGTAAGAGACCGGTCAACAAAGATCTGTGGAACATGGTTGGTGAATTGGTCATGAAGACGAAAGAGCCCGGTGGAGAGACTCTGAGTTGGTGGACAGAAGACGGTGCATGGCCTATGGCAATCGACGACTTTGTCACCTTCATAAAAGAGAAGAGAAAGGGGGGCGGTGACAGTATGGATACCAGCTGAAGAAGCCAAGCTGCACCCCCGAAATCACGCCCCATTTCTGCTAGACCGTCCCGACGTTATGCATATTCGTATGCGTGTGGATGCTCGAGCCCGGGTGAGGACAGGTGACCACCTGGGTAGCCATGCTCACATTGTTTTACCACTCTTGAGCTAGAAGATCGAGTTTACAGCCGGTAGCGAGCACATGATGATGTTGTGGCATGCCATCAACGAACATTGAGAATACTAACTGTTTTTTGTGTTTGTGGGGGGCCGGCAAGGCTGGCCTATAGACGGTCACGTGGGATGGAAGAGGCTGACTAAGGCAATGGGCTGCTGCTCGGTGTGCACGATTAGTCCGTTCGCCTCGCTCGCCTCACTGTCTCGATAGAATTTCAGCAGCTGCGTGACACTCTCCACCCAAGATACTCCATACTCTTTAATCTGCATCATTCTCCCCCTTTGTTGCAAATCTATTTCAATACTCGAAAACTTTCCTAGTAGCAATATCTGGCTAGACTGTTAGTTCGTCGATATTTAGCTTTGGTGTTTGAGAATCCCCATTAGCACTCTTCATCCCCTCGACCTCGTCTCCAGACATGATCCCCGCTTTCTCTCAAGCTCGAAGCATTCGCACTTCTCGCGGGCCCAGGCCATTGTGATCTCCTACAACCACACGACCGGCTTCAATTGTCACTGACGACATCTACGCTGAGCTTCCACACTATGCGTGGTCCGCACACGTAACCCTCGACTTGTCCAGATCGACTGCCACCCAGCCCTCGGACGAGATCTATCCGTAGCCTCATCAGCGACTTTGACACGCAATGCACAGAAGATGCCTATACCTTCGAGGGAGGTTCTGACCCTCCGTTTGATCTTCGATTGTGACGGGGACGAAGAGGAAGAATATGCTGCGTCGGAAGATCCTCTACATCCCTCATTTCTCCTTCGTCTGCCCGTTGAGCTCCGCCTTAAGATCCTCCGCTACCTTTTGCGCATAGACCGCAACCGCAAAGCTCACACTCGCCGTCCGCCCCAGAACAGCATTTCCGAACTGCTCTATTTGAATCCGAGGCGCATTCTCGAGGCTGCGCCCTTTAAGCACAAGGGGAATCAAGAGATCAATGGGAGTCCCCCAGTCATAAATAGCTGCCAGCTACACCCGGCCATCCTGAAAACATGCAAACAACTCTATCTAGAGGGCAAGACGATCTTGTACACGGAGAACAAAGTGGTCGGTCTGCAGTCAGGAATCCGAGGGCTCGGCGCGAAGCTGAAAAACTACGGTATCCCAGTCTTCGGACCTTTTCCATCGTCCAGGTTGATAAGTGCACCTTATGATGCCTCTCAGTCCTGCCAGTCCAGATTTGACCCTGTCATGCTCTTCAGTGGGGGCAATACAAAGCCAGACGCTCCATTTTATATCTGCAGCTCCAAGGACTCGGCGGATTTCATGCACGCCCTTTGGATCATGGTCAAATGTCCTTTTGCACGGGGCATGGGATACAATTTGTCGCTATCGGCGGAGCCACGGTATCGTTATGTCAACCGGACTGACAGCTTTGTGAGGTTTGCCGTGTTGCCATGGCTACACAATCACATCAACTCGATCAGCTTTCACAGTCCAGCCCCAGGAATTCTGTCAGAAGACAGGCCACAGGTAACTTCAGAAGCATGCAACAGTCGGGTGACTCCCCTCCGTGATGACCTCGCAAGACATGTCCTCGCAAGCAAGGCCGAGCCTAACCTGCACACCTACAGAGCCATCTGTGCTTATCTTGAGCAGGTCCTGCTTCAAGGGGAGATCTGCGTCGATCAAGGGAATTTTGTTAGTGGAGAGCTCCTTTTTGAGCGCGTGTGCTATGAGGCATCCAGCATTGTCCGCACCAGAACAAGCAAGCTAGTCGACGTGTCGTCCAAGAGCAAGGACGGCATCAATCGCGTTTGTAAGCTAATTGCAGTCAGTGCTTACAGACTGTGCGAGCTTCGCAGCGGCGCATTGGCCCGGCTCATCTCGAAAAGACTCCAAAACTTGCAAGCAAATGGAACGGGTGCTCTTGAGCCAAAGCGCTGTGACAGCCAGGTCACCGAAATTCCAAAGGAAGAAGAGGGCGAATCGCCGGATGACTCCGCATCAGCTATCAACGAGGACACATCATCCATCGCATCAAGTTCCGATGCACGAACTAGCATCAGTGAGGAGAGCAGCAAGAAGCCTGACGACGTCTCCGCAGGTGATCAGCCCGATAAAGCACAAGTGACAACCACCGTCTCAACTCGGCCACCGACATATTTCATTCCAAGAACCACGCGCCTGGAGCCACAGTTGGCTGGTGATCTCGCCCTTACAAGCGGTCTTCTTGCACTCCGACTACCGTGCGCGTCGCCGGTGCCGGAATGGAATATTCGTCTAGACATCATGCTTTTGCGACTCTTTGCCGAGAGAAACGACACCCCTAATGCGGTGTGGAGCCTTCGTCGCATCCAGAGCAATGGTACTGTCGAATTGCAGAGTATGAAGCAGAAAAACAAGACGGGTGACAAAAAATGGCAGGCTCTAAGCGACTTGGTGCATGATTTGGCGCAGCAGCTGAGACCAGGTGGTACCAGAAGTTCATTCTATGAGACGGCAGATAAATGCCAGCAAGTCGTCACACTGTTGTGGGGAGAACGTTTGATTCCTAAGAAGGGTTTTAATGGATTAATCTGGACATTCAGATGGGCTGGATAAAGGATACAGGATATGCTTGAAGCAGGGCGAGGGGGAAACAGGTGCAATTCAGCATTGCAGCGGGCTATCCTTTTCTATTTTGTGGCATTTTCAGGCATGGCGCTGAGGTCGGGACATCTCGAGGACCAAGCGAACGGGATCTTTTTGTTCTTTGACGATTGGCAACGAATGAACATGACGGTGACATGACCATAACCATGACCATGACCATGATGCCCAACTAACTACCTACCCAGGCTTTCCATGACTATGTCTTTGTTGGAGCGTATGGTGCTGGGAGGGGTTGTTTCGCCTGAGAAGAATATGATTTGCTTCATACTATCTGGGTAGGTAGTACGAACGTGTGATATAAGTCACTGGTCCTTAGCCTGCCAAATCATTGCGGCTCCATTTACAACATATAATCTACATTGCAGGCATCCGGTTGCATCCCAAATATCTTCACCGCCGCCAAAAGATGTGGTTACACTATGGCATAAGCCGACACGCCTTTTCCCCACAGCTGAATGACAACAGTCCGACGTACAGTGGAAGAGGGCCTTATCATCTCAGGCAGTCAAGCAGAGAAGACAGATGCACCTCATCCAGCCTCCCTGCCCAATCTTCTCTGCCTGTGTGCTGCCCCTTTATGTGCGTAACCCGGTCACCAACCGTAAGCCCTGCGCACTGATTGGCTGGCCTTGCAGAACATGTCACCGCGTCCAAAGACAAGTGCACGATGAACATCGCCTTCTTGGAATATATCTCAGACCGTCTCAGCATCATGCCGACATGCAGACAAAAGCAAACAATCCACCCACGGCGAAGCAGCAGCCAGGCCCGACTCACCGACGGACTTGCGCTCTACTGATGCCGCTGCAGAACGATTTCCCGTCATAATTCTTTTTCATTCTCCCTCTCCCCCATCCCCTCTTTCTTGGGGCTTTATATATCGTGTCCTTCCCTCTCGAGCCTTGTCACATTGTTTGTCGTAGAGTGGTCAACCATGGCCGGGCGCTCACACGTTCTCCCTTCTACGGAGTTTACGACTGTATCTACGTTAAGAAATGTTGGTGGGAATGAGGGTGTAAACGGCGCCAAATACGGCTCTGAGTAACAATAGGTGTCTTCAGTCTCGTCGGCAACACGAGCCTAGCTTTCAGAAAGTTACTCCAACAATCTTCTCTATATATATACAGGTGTGACTCTCCCTGGACAGAGCTCTGTACCGGGTAGGGCGTCAAGTGCTAACGCAGCAATGCAGGAAGCAAAAACCAACATCATCATGGATAACTTCAACCCTAGGATCGTGAAGCAGATGGTCCAATCCCTGTACACAGGCGATTAGGACGCTTATGAGCGTGAGTCAAGGTTACCCGTGGAAATACCATGAGTACATATCTAATACCATTCAGCTACAGCATTCATCGCTTCCCCACCGACCACTACGCCGATTGCTGTCAGACTGTCTGCCTGTCTGTCAGCTGAGAAAGGCTTCATACTCCTATCTCCTTACCCTTCTACTCGGGTGAGAATGTTCGAAGATTTCCCAAGGAACGTCGCCACCATCGCTGTCTGCTTTGTTGTATGTCCTACCCCTTCAACCTGTGCGCCAGGTCGAGCAGTGCTGCAAGCTCTTAAAGACCAGGCCCTGATCAAGCCCGACGCGGTCATTGGCGGGTTGGTTGCCTCGGACCTCGCTGTCGCTACTAGGGATCGCTGTCCACCACGATACGGTGATCTCCACAAAGTACTGCGCCGAAGAACTGATGTGGGAGAAAGACCGTCAGAAGGGCAGGTTCTTGTTACATACTATCTAAGTACCGCCAAGGCCCAACGCTCCCTTTTCCCGACCCACATTTACATATGTCGTACACCATGGCAGCACCGTCAGACTCCCTGCTGACCACTCAGGCCTTACCAGGACAGAAAAGCAAAAAAGGAACTCTTTTCGTCTTCACCTTCCTCCCCCATCTCCACAGATTGATCCAAATCTGCCCCTTGTTCTTCGAGATTTTTATTCGCTGGACTGTACCATCATGCCTGTATCGTTTGCGGACAACGAGTTCTACCCGGAGACCAGTCTCTCGCTGCATCAGTTCCTTGTACCGACTCCCAAAGACTGATCGCTCTCGGGCGACAGAAGCCATACGGGCCTTCTTCAAACAGTCAAAATTCTGCGCCAGTATGGGGCCAAGGTCAAGGTTCAAATCTCTCAAGAGGGTGACGAATGCTTTGACTTGTTGTGTAACTGGAACATGTCTCAAGACGGCTCCCTCCAATTCCCAACCCTGCATGCTGTCAGGTGGGACTAGGATCTCCTCACCCAGGTTTTTGCGGGCATGAACGCATATATTCGAACGTGCCTCTCAATAGCAACTCGTTTCAATTATCCCATCCAAAATAACGCCTCCTCTCCCGATCTGCTGGCTCTCCAAGATGCCATCAAGCTTCTGGACAAGGACGCTTGGCTTCCGATCGAGAACACGTCAGAAATCTTCGACAGATATGCAAGATAGCTTGCGAACCATCTGAGCCACGGCAATAATCCATTGCAGTCTTGACAACTTGGATCTCGTATTGAAAGCTCGCCCACAGCGGTACGACATTGTCGATACTCTCGGCGTCCACCCTAGCCAGGCGTCGCTTGACTATAGGCTCTCTAACCATGAGCCTTGTGTCTCTAAGTTGGAGCCTCGTCAACTTGTGCTCCCGGTACGCTAGGAGATCACCGGGGCCGGATTGCCTACAATCCGGATACGCATAAGGCAGGGGATGAGGGCGAGCCCTCCGGCTATCTCCAAAGATTCCCACCGAGTCAGACACCGACGTCCGCTTGCACTCCCAGAAGATAACTTTCCAATTCTTTGAAGGGGGTCCAAGTATAGGTTTTTTTTTTTGTCGCGTTCTCGCGTCGTGGAGATTACCGACGACATGCCTCGCCATTAGAGAGGCAGAATGGATGTCTTGGAATGTGGTTGATCGTCGTTCCGAGCGTGGGCGCTATTAAGAGATCACTTGTGCGCAGCAGTCGTAGGGTCCCAATCATCCCCAGCGTCTGATCAATCGCGTCAATACAATACTGACACAGGCTGCCATGTCCGTTGACCGACTCGATACCACGAGAAGACGACGAAAAGAAGACCTAACGCAACACCATTGCCCGAAACCCCGCTGGACACAGCACGCGGGCATTATGAAGCGAACGAGAGTTTCCAGGAAGTCTCGACGAGGCATCAGGATGCGGAGCTCGAGCGACATGGCTGATGCAGGGCTGTCACAGATCACAAGCTAAAGCACTACGGCCATTTCCAGGTTTAGGTCTCCGCTCAGCGCTTTCTACACCTCTCTCTCATCCCCAACTACCATATACCTTCCCAGCTTCCACCGCAGATTTCAGCCCTCATCCCAAGCACTTTGAGAGTCTCAGGTTAAGCAGGTTAGATAGAGTGTACGTTAGCAACTCGGGGAAGCCTCGAGGTCCCTCCTGCTCCCTATCCAAGCGACCGAGCAAAACGTTAAGAGTCTTAACGTGAGCCACCAGGAATCACTGTGTTAGCCAACCCTAACCTTATGGGTTAGGTGACCCGATCACGTTCCTTGGCACTGCAGCATGCTCCATACAGAGGTCTATGCAACTAGATAGATCTCTCTTCTCTATTCAATCAATCAAGTTATCAAGGACCGTTTGTCCATCAACCTCCCTGGCAAGCGCCCTCGGCGATATTGAAGTGGGAGGCTTCTCCCCGTCCGACAAGCGCACCCAGGTTCTCTGTTGTTGAAAAGAAGCGACCGCTTTGTGATAGTCCGCTGCGAGTCACCCGAGTCTGCCGCAGAGGATGGGAAGCGTCGACATGCTTGACTTCCTTCTGGGCGAGGTCTGGACTGACATCTCACTCAGTCAGCCCGACCGCAAACCCTCGAGTACAACCGGGTCACCTCGCTGCCGATGGCGGAGCGGGTCCAGTGGTTTGCGGAGCTCGGAGAGGAGAATACGCGAGTGGCGCAGGAGACGTTAGAGCGGTAAGGTCAAACGTGGGAGCAGATGCTCACGCGGCAGGCGTGAGAGCTGGATCAGCTCGCCACTGGGCCACATCAAGTTCCCTGTACTCCCGTTGTCGTTGATGACCTGCGGTCGCCGTCGCGCCGACGTTTGTTCCGAAGCTACCCTTGTGTGCTCTATAAGGCGGCAATCTGCACCAACAAACTGCGGATGTTGCGCAAGTCCTTTGTGGTCCTGATCTCGGCGCCTGAATGTTGTCCAGGAAGCGACACTGTGTGTTGTCCGGCATAGTGGAATCAAGGGGGTATCAGAAGTCTCCCCCCTTGACATTGTGTGATTGACTCGGTTCTTTCTTGCCGCAGCCATTTGTACGAGATGGCGTCCTTCAAGCCAGCAGCCGCACCAACCATCAGTCTTGCTCATTGAGGTGCTCTTTGCTCTGCAGCAGGAGCAGACTCTAGTTATCATTGACAAGACAAGGCTACCGGCAGGCTTTGTCAAGTACCGCCACCATAACTTTGACATAGGCTTGGATCGGGCTGTCAAATGTTCGTGGCGGTTGTTTGTCGAAGTAGCCTATGTATTCCCACGGGTTAAGAGAGTGCGACGCTCTACCCACTGGCGCACGGTTATTGTCTATCCCCGAGGTTAGTATTCGAAATACCTTAGTCACAGCTTTTCTGTTGCCGTGAAGATCCTAGCTCTAGAAAAATGAGCACGTCGACCCAGCGCCATCGCCCGCCGCGGTACTTGCTGTCACTGGACGAGTTGCTGCCAGATGCGTCCCCCAAAGACTGCGGAAAAGGCACAAAATTCAGCCTCTCGATCTTGGACAAGGCCGTCCCAGGAACCCGGGGAAACCGACGATTCCAGCAAGGGGCACCATACACTAGCTCTCCACCCGCCAGTCCCGTGCTTCGCCGAGACACCGGCAGTCGTTTACGAGAATCAAACCTCGAGATCTTGTCCGATCGTGTGGCTCGCACGATTGATGACGGGGGATCCTACAATATTTCCT